TTTCCCCCACCACCGGCGTCTGGTTTTTCCGAGTGTGGGTGTAGGGGGAGAGGGTGTTGGGGAAAAAAAACGGCGACCGGCCCCGAAAGGTGGGGATGAGAATTTTTTATTTTTTTTTATTTTTTCTGATTTCCTCTGGATTTGAACCTGGGGCCTTCGTGTTTCCGAGCTGGGTCCTAGTATGTTGAGCTAAACGAGATCTTACTAGTCTAAGGATTAGATGAGGTATTTAAGCTAAAGTTGCGTAGGGTACGGTATGGGGGTACGGGTATACGTATGGCAAGGATAGCTCGTCGAATCAAATGGTCGATATTGGACGGGGTGGGGTAAAAACAGTTAGGGTATACGTATGGCAAGGATAGCTCGTCGAATCAAATGGTCGATATTAGACGGGGTGGGGTAAAAACATTTTGACCAAGAAAAGCGTCATGCGGTCGACCGGGGATCGGTGGCAGGTAGTAACTGACAATGCCGTAGGGTAATAAAAAAAGAACACGCAAATATTTGTACTGGCGAGCATTTCGACTCGTGTCACGATAAAAAAATAATGCATCATCGTAGATTAGAAAGAATGCTTATTGTTGAAAAGATGTCGGATAAAATTTTATTTTAAAATAACTCGCTGCTTAATGAAGGTAAACAGAAACATGGATGTTGAGGAAATTTCTGGAAAGAGGAAGTGAAAGAAAATTGAACAATGGTTTTAAAAGTACAAATATGATTTATATTTAAAATATTTTTACAGAACAAAATTATTCACAAACATTTCAAGAAAATATTCGTCGAATAATTATTAAAATTTACGTTTTGATATAATTGTATGTACAATTTGTTCGAAATAAAGTGAAATTATTTCTAAAAATGTTATCTCAAAGTATACATCGAGAAATGTTAAATCTTTCAGTTGGGTACGTACATTACGTTCTATTTCCTTACTGTTACCTCTGATCGTGAGTTTTACGATACTGTTATTAATGCTACCGTTGACAGGAAGATTTAACTGTATTTCGTTAATTAAATATCGAGCACATTCGTTGACATTAGTTGAAATAAAATTTAGACGATTTAAATTAGCGTTCACACAATCAACTATATTTTCTACACCTTGAAAAGTCGTTCTCTGCATGACTATCGCAATGTTGTAAGTTTTACGTTTCTTCGCCTTTGGTCCGTTTTCGTTCGTATCCTCCACAGTCTCGGAAGAAAGATCTTCTTGCTCGTTTTCACGATATGTTATTAGTATGGCTCTAGCACCATATGCGGTAGTGAAATTTACAATTATCTTGTTAAAGATGATCGAGCTCAAATTAATTTTATCACCGTTTAAGTAGCTCGACATCGTTTTCATGTTTTCTTGAAATTTTTGCCACGATTCCATGTCGAAGCAAATCCCTACAGCTCCGTGAGATGTTAATTAAACAACAGGCAGAAAATCCAGTTCGACGTTGTCTTCCGTCATAAGACCCACTTGAATTTTCTTCGTGTAGGATGAATTCAATCCGTATGTTGTTGACAGCAACATACGTGGTTGTTGCTCGATTTTCTTAAGATTGTTCATGGTAGTTGCTACCGCGTAGAAAATCAAAGATATAATAATCAAAGACACGCAAAAATCGAAAAATCGAGAACTTTTTACTAACAAACTTTTTTACTAACGAACTTGAAAGTCCGGACGATGAAAGACGAGTGAGCGAAGATTTTCAAGAAAATTTATAAGAAGGAAGATAAAATAGAAAACTGGTAGGGAGAAAATGTATGCGTAGATAAATAAAAATTATGAGGAAGGGATTTTTTAAACAATATAAATAATATAATTTTTAATGTGGAAGGGGAATTTTTTAAACAATAAAGCGATAGGGGGAAAATGCATGCGTAGTATAATAAAAATTATGTGGGAGAGGAATTTTTTAAACAATATAAACGATATAATTATTAATGTGGAAGGGGAATTTTTTAAGCAATATAAATAAACAGCTGTTCGATCCGGAATTCCTTGAGCTAAATCCGTCAGAGCACGTGCGCTCCACGTGCCCGTCATTCGCGAGAGCGTGAATAGGCGCGCCCCCTCTCTCGCACTTCTTGTTCGATTGCAGGTATACTGCAAGGCGGGCGGAATGTTCGAAAATCGAACGGCTGATTGTAAACTGAAAAGACCTAAGAACATTATTGCGTTAAAGCTCATGCAAATCGTGACATGCAACATGCATCATGCATCATTTTTATTAATATTCTTTAAAATAGCGCTCGGCCGCACCGGTATACGTATACCCCGCGCCTGCGAAAAGAAAGCGCTTACGTTAAATCCCCGATAATTGTAAACACCGCGGTCACGCGAGAGGAGATACACTTTAGTTCCGATAACAATAAAAAGATTATTTTTCTAAAAGTAAACAATTACACAAAACGCTCTTTCGACCTCAGCAAAACGATAGAATAAAGAGGATTCTTCTCGACTATTCTAGAAACACGGGCCTATAAAAGCCTCCTCTCTCGTGATCGCGGCGCTCTTCTCCGATTGCTCGTCGCGTCAAGAGTGTGTTGCTACTGTTTTAAAAAGATCGCTTGTCTTTTTCTCTTTACCACGTCTAATTACCGTTGCTTGCGGAACGTTTAATTATTAATTACCGACTCGGCTATTTCTTTTGGATTCTCCTAATCCGTTAACTTTTTGTAAATTCTGTGCGGTTTTCAGTATTTGTATTTTTCTTTGTTTTTAGTTAAAATATAGTTATATTAAACGATACGTTTTGTCGAGTGTCGTGCTTCGCCGTCTTCTCGCTTCCGACATCCTTATCCTGCCTTCCGTCGCGCACATTATTTTTGGTCCTTCGAGCCGGATCCTCTAGAACCTCCTGTGAATCCGGTGCCACGGAAGCGTAGAGTCTTTCAGTGTAGGTGAACAGTGCATCTGAAAATAAACAGTGTCAGAGATGGCAGACACAACGACTATAATTACCAACGCCACCGCGCTATATGGCAAGATTTCGCGCGCATACGATAACCTTCGTAAGCTCGGCGAGGCCAACATCACACTCGGTGCAGTGGAAGCCCGGCTTCTGAATCTCGACAAACTGTGGGAGAAGTTCGATGCGATGAATGATATCTTGGCTGAGCGTGTAGACGAAATAAAGCATGACGTCTATGCTAAACAGGACATACCTTCACTCGGCGAAGAGTCTTATCTAGTGAACAAGGGCCTGATGTTGGAGATGCGGCGTACTCTCCAGAAGAAGGAACGCGCCGCTGCTTCTGCTACTTCAGAGACATCACCATCGGCGCCTCGCACCACGCTACCTCGAATCCAGCTGCCGACCTTTACGGGAAGATACGAGGATTGGCCGGCCTTCCGAGACCTCTTCGTCTCCCTTATCGGCCAGGATAAGACGACGAAGCCTGTGGAAAAAATGCATTACTTGAAGAGCTGTGTCAAGGGCGAGGCAGATCTTCTCATCAGAGACCTCAGTTCTACCGAAGCCAATTACGAGCGAGCCTGGCGAACTCTAAGCGACTACTACGAAAATAAGCGCTTACTAACCCGCTCTTATTTAACGAATTTTTTAAGCCTGCCAAAGATGAAGGGAGAATCCTCTACTGAGCTTAGGAAGATATTCCACGGCATCAAGACTACGGTCAGCTCGCTGGCGAGCATCGACCGGCCAGTAGGGAGTACTGAAGATCTCTTTGTGCACCTCGCCGTTGACCTTCTCGATAGTCGCTCTCGCCGCGAGTGGGAGACCTCCATCAGTGAAACGAACGAGCCTCCGCCATACGCTCTGCTAGAGCGATTCCTTGAGCGACGCCTTCATACTCTGGAGTCGTTGCCCTCGACGAAGATCGACGTCTCGTCCAACAAGGCCAGCGGGAGTCAGTCGAGGTCGACTCGTACGCACCATGCTCGTAAGCTGGACTCAAAGGAGCTCAAGGGAAACACTAGAGGACGCTGTTCAGCCTGCCAGGGTGACCACTTCGTGATGCTGTGCGACGCTTATAGGAAAATGACGGCCTCAGAGCGCAAGCAGCACGTCGAAGGCAACGACTTGTGCGGAAACTGTCTCGGCCGACACAAGACCAAGGAGTGCGCCTCCAAGAAGAACTGCTCTGCGTGCAATGACCGGCATCATACCTCACTCCATGATGCCTACCGCTCATCGGAGACCGTCAAAACGGCGCACGTCAGCAAGGGACCGGTTCCGACGCCTGTAGCGGTACTTTTGGCCACGGCACGCGTTCGCGTATGCGATCGCTATGGTTCCTGGCAGTCCGTTCGCGCCCTCGTCGACCAAGGCTCGGAATCCTCCATTGTGTCGGAAAGGCTCACCCAACGCTTGAGGCTAGCACGGAGCTCCGCTTCAGTTTCCGTGTATGGAGTCGGCGGGAAAAAGACAGGCGTCTCAAAAGGTAAAGTGGTACTCACCCTCCAGTCTCTTAGTGGCTGCCCTTCCATCACCGTCCACGCCCTGGTGCTGCCGAAGCTGACCATCTACGCCGGCGGCTACAACGGCGGCGGGCATAACTGGCCTCATCTTCAGGGTCTGGAGCTCGCGGACCCTGATTACCGCTCAGCTGATCCGGTTGACATCCTCCTTGGCGCGGACGTTTACGGTTCGATCCTCTGTCAGGGCCTAAAAAAGGGAAATCGACATGAACCAATAGCTCAACAAACCACGCTCGGCTGGATACTGTCAGGCGTGGTTGGTGAGACGACTACCGGACATCACGTTCACACTCACCAATGCCGAGTTGAGGACGACGTCTCTATCCTGGTGCGACGCTTCTGGGAGCAGGAGGAGCTTCAACGGCCTTCACAACTCTTCTCCAAGGCTGACCAGGAGTGCGAGGATCACTTCCTGCGACATCACAGTCGTACAGCCAACGGTCGATATGTGGTGAGACTGCCGACGATCGAGCCTCTGCCTGATCTCTCAGCCACTCGACGCGCCGCCAGTCGAGCCCTGCAACACGTCAGCAAAAAATTAGAACGAGAAAATACCTTCCGCAGCATGTACGTGGATTTCATGGAGCAATACTTGGACCTCAACCATATGAAGCCGGCTCCCCTGTCGACTATTGGATCTCTACAGCGAACCTGCTACCTTCCTCACCACGGGGTCCTGCGCGAAAGCAGTGCCTCTACTAAGTTGAGAGTGGTCTTCAACGGTTCGAGCTCTTTGGCCAACGGCGACTGTCTCAACCGATTCCTGATGACGGGACCCAACCTGCTTCCCGCCCTAGCTGACATCCTACTACGGTGGAGAAGGCACCGGTTCGTCTTTGCTACCGACATTGAAAAAATGTACCGGCAAATCCTGGTGCATGCCGATGATCAGAGCCTGCAAAGAATATTGTGGAGGAAGGACTCGGAGACAGAGATCAAGGAATATTGGCTGACTACTGTGACTTACGGTTTAGCCTGCGCTCCATACTTGGCCATCCGCACGCTGCATCAGCTCGCCGTGGACGAAGGCGATCGTCATCCTGAGGGAGCCGCGGTCCTCCGCTCCGACGTTTACATGGACGACATCCTGTCTGGAGCTTCTACCCTCCAGGAAGCCAAGGAAATCCTCCGACAGCTTGTTCTGGTCTGCAAGGTGGGAGGCTTCCCTCTGAAAAAATGGTCAGCTAATCACCCGCAGTTACTTTCGACATTACCTACCGAGGACTGCCTCCAGCAAGAGGCAAGATGGTGGCTGCCTGGGAAAGTCATGCCACCCTGGGATTACGGTGGCAACCTTGCGACGACCTCTTCTCCTTCGCCACCAGCCAACCAACGCTGCCCACGATCACTAAGCGGTCAGTCTTATCGTTGACAGCGAAGCTGTTTGATCCGCTCGGTTGGCTGTCTCCCACGACTGTTCTCGCCAAGACTCTAATCCAGTCTACTTGGTTGCTCGGCATCGACTGGGACACTCCTCTTCCGGACGACCATGAGAAGGCCTGGTTACGCTTCCAAGCGGAGCTCCCTCAACTAGAGAGACTGCACGTTCCTCGATGGCTGGGCGGAGGATCGACTGACTGCCGCCTGGAAGTCCACGGATTCGCTGACGCCTCAGTCCGTGCCTACGCCGCTGTGGTGTACCTAAAAACCGAGAAGAACGGGGAGTATGGAGTTACGCTGATTGCCGCCAAGACGAAAGTTGCTCCGCTAAAACAAATCTCCTTACCTCGGCTCGAATTATCAGCCGCAACTCTTCTGGTCCGCCTCGTTCAGCAAACGCTGCCTCTCATCGGAGCTGAAAAGGCGCCTCTTCATCTCTGGTCAGACTCCACAGTGGTTCTCGGCTGGATCCGTGGACATCCTTCTTCCTGGGTCACATTCGTTGCCAACCGGGTCAGCGAAATTCAGACGTCGCTCCCCGACGCCCTTTGGCATCATGTCCCTGGACGCGAAAACCCGGCCGACTGCGCCTCTCGAGGCATCTTCCCTGGAGATCTTGAGGCGCATCCACTTTGGTGGCAGGGTCCCTCTTGGCTGAAAACGGAGAGCGGCCCTTGGACTGTCTTCGGAGAGGATCCCAGCAACGTCGAGCTACCAGAACGTCGAGTCCGTTCGCACGCTGCAGTCTTGGACAAGCGAGGAGACGAACCGGAGCTGCTACTCCGATACTCGTCCCTGCAGCGACTACTTCGCATCACCGCCTGGTGTCTCCGGTGGTTTCGACAACGCCGACGGCAGCCCATCCTTCTCAATCGCGACGGCGGGGTAGACGCTGAAGAACTGCATGACGCGCTGATCCACTGGGTACGGCTCGTCCAAGCTGCAAATTTCAAGGACGAGTTAAAATCGTTGCGAGGACTGACATCACTGCCCAACCGAAGCCCACTCAATAAGCTCAGCCCGTTTGTGGACGATTCGGGCGTTATTCGCGTCGGAGGGCGTCTACGACATTCTCAAATGTCTTTTCAGGCTACCCATCCAATCATCCTACCGAGCTCGTCGCGAATTACTTACCTCGTCATCGATGAGCATCACCGACGATCGTTGCATGGGGGCACCCAGCTGACCCTGTGTTCCATCCGCCAAGAATTCTGGATTCCTCGTGGACGATCCCTCGTTAAAAACCACATTCACCGCTGCGTTAGATGCCTGCGATGGCGGGCGGCTACAGCACAGCCTCTCATGGGTGACTTGCCTGCGCCCCGAGTGACGCCAGGAAGACCATTCCTCCATACTGGCGTCGACTACGCCGGACCCGTCTGGCTGCGAAGTGCCAAAGGCCGCGGGCAAAAATCTTCTAAGGCCTTCATTGTCGTTTTCATCTGTTTAGGTTCCAGGGCCGTCCATCTTGATGTCGCCTCGGACTACTCGGCCGACGCCTTCTTGGCATCCTTGCGTCGGTTCATCGCTCGGCGAGGTGTATGCCAAACGCTATACAGCGACTGTGGGACCACCTTCATAGGCGCCGACACGCAACTCCGAGACTTATTCGCAGCCACAAACCCTGAAGGCCGTCGCATCGCCTCCTTCGCTGCTCAGGAACAAATTCAGTGGCGGTTCAACCCGCCGGCTGCGCCCAACTTCGGTGGCATCTGGGAAGCGGCAGTCAAGTCAATGAAGCACCATCTTCGCAGAGTGATAGGAGAAGCTACACTCACCTACGAGGAGATGGCCACTCTCCTCTCCCAGGTCGAGGCTTGCCTCAACTCTCGGCCTCTGCAACCGCTGACCGACGACCCGGAGGACTTCAGCGCGCTGACGCCCGGCCATTTCCTCATCGGCTCCGCGCTCTCCGCCGTCCCCGAACCGTCGCTGACCGAGGAATCGTCGTCGCGCCTCTCCCGGTGGCAGCTTCTACAAAAGATGAAAGATCATTTCTGGTCTCGATGGTCTCGCGAATATCTGCACACGCTGGCTCATCGGCCGAAATGGTTCAAAATAAACCGGGAAGCTCGCGTCGGTCGACTCTGTTTAATCCGTCACGAAATGACCGCTCCAACGAGGTGGCCTCTAGCGCGCATCACCAAATTGCTCTCCGGAGCCGACGGACACGTTCGCGTCGTCGAGGTCCGCACCGCCACCACTGTCTTGACCCGACCCGTTAGCAAACTCGTTTTCCTTCCCGACGCTGACGAACTGCCACCTAAAACCCAAAGCGATTAGTCAATTCATCAACCCTTAATTTGCACCGTTCCAAACTAACTCACATCAATCACAACTGCATTCCACTCACTATTCCACTCTTTGCATCGCTGCAATCTTCTTATCACTCCACTATTCGTTCATACTCAATCACGGTTAAAATCACAATCCAAATTGTCGCGTATTCCTCGATGCGCTCACCGACACGCGTATATACTGCCGCGCTCGAAAATAAACAGCTGTTCGATCTGGAATTACTTGAGCTAAATCCGTCAGAGCACGTGCGCTCCACGTGCCCGTCATTCGCGAGAGCGTGAATAGGCGCGCCCCCTCTCTCGCACTTCTTGTTCGATTGCAGGTATACTGCAAGGCGGGCGGAATGTTCGAAAATCGAACGGCTGATTGTAAACTGAAAAGACCTAAGAACATTATTGCGTTAAAGCTCATGCAAATCGTGACATGCAACATGCATCATGCATCATTTTTTATTAATATTCTTTAAAATAGCGCTCGGCCGCACCGGTATACGTATACCCCGCGCCTGCGAAAAGAAAGCGCTTACGTTAAATCCCCGATAATTGTAAACACCGCGGTCACGCGAGAGGAGATACACTTTAGTTCCTATAACAATAAAAAGATTATTTTTCTATGTTTTGTATATTTTCTCCTTTGGGTTTTATCGGAGCTATCGCCTAGTTCTCTCTTGTGGACTGCGTCGATAGGCAAGGATAGATAGCAGGAACTAGTCTCTTTATTCTAAGTAAGAATACGTAATTTTTATTCTTCGGATCACAAATGTTCTTCTCGGGTTTACCGGACGGCTCGTCGTACCAGACTCGCCTTCCGTGCCGCATCGCTCCTTTTTAAAGACGCGGAAACTCTCTCCTAATTCGGCGCTTCGCCCTTGTGGACGCAATAACAAACTGTCGATGTACACAATTACAGAGAGCTCTCAGGAGCGTATATCGAAGGCGCGCGGGGATCACGGAAATTTAATTTTTTCCCAAACATACCCCTCGGGTTGAATCGCCAAGGGATTCAAATGACAGTCAGGGGTAAATCCTTACACATTGAACTGCAATCATTGGAGACAACCTGCAGAATTTAGATTACGCTGAACCGTCCGGACTTACCGGCAATTTACAGAGTTTAACAATAGGTCTTACAAAAGTAGAAGACGCGGTCTTGACCTGAGCAACTCGCACCAGGCCATCCTTGTCAGGCTTACATTCGATGATTCTCGCAAGTTCCCATCTGCAGGGAGGTAAATTAGGATTTTTTATTAGAACAATATCGTTTATGCGAAATTCATCAGATCGATTCTGCCATTTAAAACGCTGCTGCAAGGTGTTCAAGTAGTCAAGACTCCACAATTTCCAAAATTGCTCGTATTTCGCACGCATTAATTGCCATCGATCGAGTCGTGACCGGAGATATGTAAGACGCTCGGACTCGGAATCGATTTAATGGCGCTACCAATTAAAAAATGCCCTGGTGTGAGCGCATTGCAAGAATTTACATCGTCATGAAGTGCGGCGATCGGGCGCGAATTCAAACATGCTTCGATGTTACATAAAAGCGTGGTGAACTCTTCGACCGTAGGTGTGCAGGAACCAAGTATACGTCGCAAATGGTGCTTCACACTCTTAACACCTGCCTCCCACATGCCCCCAAAATGAGGGGCAGAAGGCGGAATGAAATGCCATTGAACTGGCTTTGACGCGAACTTCGCCTGCAGATCTACGTCGGCTTGAGTCTGTCGGATCGCTGTAACAAGTTCGCGATCCGCGCCTTGATAGGTAGTCGCGTTGTCGGAATAAAGATCGGATGGAATGCCACGACGCGCTACGAACCGTTCGAAAGATGCGAGAAACGCAGCCGTGGAATAATCATGAACGAGCTCTAAGTGTATAGCTCGTGTAGCGAGACAAACAAATAGCGAGATGTATGTTTTGTGCGACTTACGTCCGCGGCCGGAAGCGTCTCGAATTGCGAAGGGGCCGGCGTAATCAAGTCCCGTATGGCAAAATGGACGGGACGGAATTACTCTAAATGTAGGAAGGTCGGCCATAAATTGTACGCCGGTTATGGCGCGATGCCGAGTACATGTCACGCAATTGCGGATACAACCTTTTACCATGCTTCGCGCCCCCAGAATCCAATATTGTTCTCGCAACGTGCGAAGCATTAACTGTACACCGCCGTGAAGTGTATCCTTATGAATTTGATCGATAATGAGCTTAGAAAGGTAATGCTTTGGAAGTAGAATCGGAAATTTACGATCATATGAAAGGTCAGACAGTTGAAGTCGACCACCCACGCGTAGGATACCGGAGGGATCCAGGAACGGATCGAGAGAATGGATGGAGCATCGAACTGGTAACCTCGACTTGGCTTTGAAAGCGACGATTTCTTTTGAAAAGTATTCCGTTTGCATCTGTTTAATCCAGAATCTGTGCGCGGTTTTTATTTCATCAACTTGCAAAATAGAGAGACCTTGAGCAACATCTGGGACTCTCGTTCGAAACTTGAACCGAAGGACGTATGCGGTGACCCGTAGTAAGCGTGGCCACGTGGAGATATGATTGAAGGATTCAAAAAGTTCCGCTCGATTTGAATGATGCGAGTGGACTGCATTTGACGCTTTCAATTCGGAATCATCTTCGGTGCAACTTATCGTAGATTGAACTGGCCAATTATCCTCGTTAAATTTCAGCCATGCCGGGCCGT